TGCGGGGCAATCCCAGTGCATGTTGCTGTCCTTTTTGAGCTCAATAAAACTGTTCTGCTCCTCTGATGATCAATTTCCCACAACACCCAACATATCACAAGAATTTATCAAAGATAAGAAAGTTGAAAATCTTAGACTAGCCTAGTCACCTCCCAGATTTTAATCAAATTTAGGGAAGTATTTTACATAATAAAGAAAATATTTAAAGTTGTGGTTATGATGGCCCATTGGTTAGCATTGCTACCTCCCAGTTCCGGGGCCCTGGGTGTAATTCTGGACCTGGGGTGCTATCTGCCTGGAGTTTGTGTGCCTAAAGTTAATCTACCTATGTTCGTGTGGGTTTTCTCTGAGTGTTCCAGTTTCCTCTCTCAGGGCTCACAGGGTTGGTGTCCTCTTTGGGGTGTATCCTGCCTGCGCCTATTGCTTGTTAGGATAGGCTCTTGATCTCCTGTGACCATATATCGGATAAAAGGGTTAGAAAATGGACTTATGGATTGATATTTGAGGTCAAAACACCCCAACAATAGGGAAGAACACAAAGGATCTGCCGCAAAACTCAGATGATGCACTGTGTTAGTTGAGCTGAGTGGGTTGCAGGTTTCATACAGTTATTGCCTCAGATGGAGGTGAAACCAAATACTGAGTTCAAACTCTGAAATTTGCTTAATGTGAATGTATCCCAGTATTTATGATCACTTGAAATTACTGAGGTGAACATAAAGTATGATTAGTTCAGGTGGGTACCTGCGTCAGCATGCATAGGCTGCAAATGAAAACGTAATAGGTTTATTTCATGCTGAAAAGAGAAAAAAGAAAACACAACGTTTTGGCTGTAGAGCCTTCTTTGGGTGTCAACACAACGTCTCGGCTATGGAGAGAAGAAAGAAGAAACAGGCTCCATAGCCAAAACATTGTGTTTTCTTTCTTCTCTTTTCAGCATGGAATAAACCTATTACTTGTTTCATAAAGTATGATTATGTTCCAATATGACCAAATGTATGCTTGGAATCATTAAAAAATAAAATGTATATTTAATAGTACTGATTCATATTACTCTCACAAGTACAAATTAATTCCCAAGCTTCTAATTTTATCTGCTTTTCATGTTTTAAACAAATTATCAAGATATATACAGTATATACAGTATACTGTAGGTAAGAGGACCGATGGGATTTATTTGGACTTTGCCGAATTATTATAGAATTTCTGAAGCTTAAATGAAACACCATTAGTCCATACTCCCAGAAGCATTTGTTGGAATGGAATAAGCTACCCATTCATTTTGTTGAAGCTGATTTTTCTTTCAACAAATGGCAGGAAGAGATCAATCTGATACCAAGAACAGACCAGCTTGATGGATGGAATGGTTCCCTCTCATCTATAAAAGTTCTTATTTGTTTTTGACCCTCTCTAATGTGTGTTCCCTGCAGTGTTCCAATTAGCCCGTGGTCAATGCGTGGCTCCATGTGGATCTGAAACTGAGATATGATGGACACGTTCATCATCTCAGGCTTTACATAATGTATAGTATAATACATTTTAGGGACATGTACTGTATAACTGAATGCCCCGTTTTCTGTTATAGAAATGTATTATATTTGTGTTAGTAATGTCAAATCCTCAGAGACGTACTAGGTACAGTATGTGTTTGCTTGTTATTCTGTTGGGTTAAGACTGATTAAAACCAGTACACATCCTTTGACATTGTGGCTCATAAAATAGCAGCTTTTCCCTTCCAGTCTCAGTCAATGTCAAATTGGTAGTTGGCTCTGAATATGTAGTAAAAGAAAAAAAATTGCTGTTGTTTATGAACGCTGGTGTGGTGCAATAAAAGAACAGCTGGAGGAGATCTGTAGGAAGAAAATGAAAGTGGGATGTGGAGATGCCTATTGTTACTGTTTGTATTAAGAGAATTGTTCTGTTTGTAATTAGTTTTCAGTTTAATGATTGTAACACTGTTTATGACTCAAGATAACTGAGCCCTGGGGTTTCTTTATGTGTTGCTGAAGGGTTGAGAGACTTTTTTGGGAAAACACTGTGGTTGAGTAACTTGAGCTGCCAGCTTTTGTTGTGTAGGATAATCCCCATGCTGGCACACTGTGCCAGGTAGGGAGGATTAGCAGAGTGCTGCTCACATAGCCAGAAGTGCTATCAGTAAACGTAGAGGTAGTTTTTTTTTTAATTGTCAAGGCCAGTAGATGTTACTTAGTTGTGAGTGAAGTAGAGAAAATGAACTTCTAAAAAGTTCCTATAAAAGGAGAGAGAGACATGTTCAACATCTGAAACAAACTGTATATACTAGCTGCATAGTTTAGTGTCATTTGTGTCATTAAGATTTTAATTGGCTTTAATTAACATATAGGGATATATATTCACATACTGTACAGGTGTGTGTACGTTACATTTATCATGATGTACTTAAAAATGCTAAATATTTGAAAGCATTCAATTTGAGAACTATTCCATGGCTAAGATTTGGTATATACATTGAATCAGGAGAAGGATGGGTTAAAAATTATACTGTATCGTAACATTGTTGAAATTAGAAATATACATTTGCATAACTGCACTCATGTTTATTCCATGCATTAACATAATCTTACTCGTCCAATAACAGCTTCTTATCCTTGAAACTTGTCATGCATATTCATCACCTGAGCTTGAATAAACTCAAATATTGACCCGAGTTACCTGAGTTAATTTTTTTTGTAGGCAAGTTGTATATTAAGCTGTTTTTCTTAATTTATCTTACATGTACAGAGTCGTGAAAAGAGTTTTATGAAGCCCTTAGTATTTTCACATATTTCAGACCTAAAATGTTATTGGATTTTAACTCATGTCCTAATAATAGATAAAGTTTATCTGAAAAACAAATTACACAAAACATGATACTCTTTCAACATTTATCTATACTCATATAATGAAACGCATAGTATCCATATTAGAAAAAATATGAATACTCAGTTACAGTTAGATTCAGTAACTGAGTAGCAATGACTGCAGCTAAATGTTTGTTGTTTTAGGGAATTGTGGCCCATTCCTCCTCACAGAACTCCTTCAACTTTGACCATTGACAGCTGCCTTGCAGGACCTGAAGCGAGCTGTCCTTACTGTAACATGACGATGGTGTTTAGGGCTGGACTTTGACTAGGCCATTGTGAAACACAGTTTCTTCTTCTACAGCTGTTCTTTTGTTTAATCTGCCAGTATGTTTAGGAACATTGTTTTCCTGCAAGACCCACTTTTGGTTCAGCTTCAGGTCATGGATGGAATGACCTGACAGACATTCTCCTCTGGAAACTTCTAATACAATACAGAGTTTGTGGTTGTGTCAGTGTCAGTGATGACGACAAGCTGACCAGGTCAAGAGGCAGCAAAACAGCTCCAAACCATCAAAATCCCACCAGCATGCTTGGCAACTGGAGTGGGGTTATTCTGTTCAAAACCAGTGTTTGGTTTTTGCCAAAGAAAATGTTTCTCATTGAGGCCAAAGCATTCTATAGTACCTTTGACTTGTTTCTCCAGACATCATTGTTCCAGAAGCCTTGTGGATTGTCTGTGTGCTCTTCGGTGAACTTCATATGCTGAGCAGTGTTTTTTTCAGTGTTCAGTTGTTTTCTAATAGTTGAGTCATGAGCAGTCACATTAGCCACAGCAAAAGTGGCCTACCATTCCTTCAATATTACCCTGGGGTTCATTGGAACTTCCTAATGATTTTTTGATTTGTTCTTGGAGAGCTTTTGGTAAAACGCCCGCTCCTTAGTAGAGTAACTGTGGTCTTGAACTTTCTCCCTTTGTGTGCTGTGACTGACAATGGATTAATGGATTGATGAAGCCACAAATCCTGAGAAGTAGATTGATTGAGCATCTGGACATTGAGCATCAATAACACTTTTTCTGAGGTCCTCAGCTTTCCTTAGATCATGGCATAACTTACTTCCACACACCTTCTGTATATAGTAAAAACTGAACTCGCAACGTTTCTGTAGGGTGGAGATTTTTATATAGGGTGGGGGCCTTGTAAACTCAGCCGTCAAGATCTACTTAGTTATTTAATAACCAGATTCTAATGATTCCCTTCTTTGAGCTAATTAAATTAGGGTTCACTTAGTTTTTAACATCCCCTACGACAGGTTTTGATTCATGAAAGCTATCATGGAAGAAATTTTAATATTTACCTTTGGGGTTCACACACTTTTTCTCGGCACTGTAAGAATAAGATTCTTATGAAATTTAAGCTTAAGAATAGAGAACCTAACAGCAATATTTTACAGAACTGAGGAACTAGAGCCTTTTTTCAAGTCTAATCTCCCGTCCTTCAACTTTCCTTTATGTACAGATTGCTGCCACTCAACACAGTGTTATATATGGCGTTAAATGGCATTAGGCCTACGTACTGGAACAAAATTGTATATTATTTTAATACTTAAGCTGTTAATTTAAACATATCTAAACTGAGTTTTTTACATTTCTTGCTTCAAGGAAGTAGTTGTCATTCAGCTTGCTTTCAAATTATGGAAAGTGCTTCACATGTCAAATTACATAGAAATTCAGTGTCTTAAACCATGAGAAATGAGCTGAATGAATGCATTTGCATATATTAAGAAAGGCTGCATCTTTATTCCATAAAAGACAGTCACTCAGATGGATTAACATATAGATGAAGAAGTCTTATTGACCTTTTAATATAGCTTCTTTCAAAACTAAGTCCAGTAGATTTCATTCTTCATACATTTGTATGAGATGAACTTGTAAATCACAGTAAATATCTAGGTTGTGAGACCTAGAGCATAAAAACTGACATTTTTTTCATTTTATACGCTGAAGACAAGTATTCTGAAATCAAGATAAAAATGTTCTTGTCAGAGTGACTGGTATGCCCTCTATGGGTAATGACAAACATTTAAAAAAAATAATTCCATAAAGGGCCTTATAAGACCCCCTGTAAAAAAAGCTTAAACAATTTTTAAACGTTCATTTCTGTGGATTTTATCTCGCAGTCCATGCCAATGAAGAATCGACCATGCTTTCTTTGCTGGACAAGAGAGTCCCTTGCCAGTTAGAACTCCGCTTAACACATGATGCACCTCCAGCTTTACTTAATCTATGGGACAGGTGAGTGATACAGAGTTCAATATTTCATATGAAAGGAACCCACTATAACTTGGCACTATAACTCTTCTACCCCTCTAAACAAGATTTCCTTTCGATGTTGTACATTAGTACTTGTAATACATAATTTTAATTTTTTTAATATATCAGTGAGAAAATTTTGATGTTCAGGTTCGGCTAAATTAATTGTATTTATTTAAGCAGAAGAGTACTTTACAGCTGTAACCTATTTGTGAAAGAATTGTGCTGAATCAAAAGAAAAAAGCCTCTTAAAATGATTAAAGATAAAGAAGTTGCACACCTACAAAAACCTAGGGCCACCTAAGATATGAATGTCATCATCTGTGTCTCTGTTTCCTTGTTTCTGCCTCTTTTGCATGTTTTTGCTTTAAGGTGGTTTAAAAATGTGCCTGTTTCAACAGGGTACTTTTAGCAGTTATAAAACATCCCTTCTGTTCCTGCACTGACAGCCGTGACTCTTGAGAGTGAATCTGACAGTCTTTCTGACACTGCTTATAGCAGGATATACATTTTATTTTTTTATTTTTTTCCAATAAAGAGGATCTTTAGCCTGTGTGAGTCTTGCAGAATAAACGTAACGCTGGGTGTTTGCTTTGAAGGCTAAGGGTTTTCAAAGGGTTTTTTTATTTTATATGTGAATATCATTGCTTAAAGCCCAGTAAATTACCTATGTGAAAAGTTAAGCAGTGGGGTTTCATCATAGCATTTGATGCAAGATAAAACAAAAGACTGGTTACCAAAGCAATCATCCCCACAGGTCCATTTTGAGTTTGAAGTTTCATTTCAAATGAGAATTGACATTTGGAATTTTAAAATGCTCATATTCATCAAACAAGGCTCCTGTAGGCTTTACATCTAATCTTTACAGTCATGCAGCCTACCACTTGAGAATAACAACCAGAAAACATATGTGTTCCTTTTTGCAATTGACACTGTTATTGACAACATGAAGACGCTGTGGATACCATTGATAGTCTATTGACAAGCATCTGACACAGGAACAAACTTGTCAGATGGCCCTGGGTGTAATGTTCTGCATAGGTACAAAAAAGTCAGTCCTGTGTGTAAATGGAATCTGTAATGGGCTTTTTAGCAAGTGTTGTCAGGGGTATGTACTGCATGTATTATTTATGTACAGTACTATATAATGCTCTTGGTTGTTTATTGAAAGTATTACAAAATGTTTGTAGGGTAGATTACATTTCTAATTAAAGTAACTGTACAGTCAAGAATTGTACCACAGGAATGATTGGAGACTCTTCAATGATTTGTGTTTTCTTTTTTTCTTAGGATGTAAGGTGTAATATAGTGAATGCACCTTCTATGAACTGGAACTATGCTCTATAGGTATTAGTTATTAAAAAGGCTGATTTCCCTAGACCATTTTCAGTTTAGGAATTTCATTTTTTAAATGTCAAAAGGTTGTTTCAGATCTTGGACTGCAGCTGGAACAAAGAGAATATCCAATTCTAAAACATAAGTTGACTTCAGTAAATTAAGACATTGCAAGTAGCAAGTAATGCATTTAAAAATAATTGTGAAAAATGTTGGTATCCAAAAATTCATTGTTAGGAAATAAACTATTATGCTTTTGATTCAAATGGTTTACTAAAATAACACACGTTTTAATAAGGTACTACTGGCAAAGCAAGTAAGATATTAATAAAGATGAGCAGTTTGCTAAAAAGACAAATATAAAATCTAATTTAACTTAGGCTCATATTTAATAATGCAAACTGGCTTCACTTTTTGTGAAGGAGGGCTGGATAGGGCATTTAATTGACCTATTTAATCTAAAATGAGAATAATAACCCTGTTAACAATTTAACAGCACAAACATACTGTAGGGAGAATGTCATTTTAAAATTAAGTCAATTAAGAAAAACAGTGATTGCATTACTTTATGAAACAACTGCTTTGTTTGCAAAAAAGTCTGGACCTTAATGAAAAAGTAAGGCATTTCATTCATCAACTGTTTGTAGCAGTGTTTGCTTTAATAGAAATAAGATCATTTTAGCTCAGACTTATCAGTGTGAGGACGAAAGAGTGCTCTTTATTTGAAAACCACCTGTATGACTGTAAATGAGACACACCTGGTTTAAATAGTTAATTAGCATCCAGTGGTACTGGGATTCCAAATGAGGAAAACAAATCGACTCTGTGAGTGACTGGCCACTCCTTTGGATTAGAAAACTGGTGTTTATGCTCAGATAAAAGGAAAAGGGCAGCTAATCTGTGTTTAGGTTCCTGCAGGAAAGGAAGAGAGTGAGCACTCGGAAGAAAATAAGAGTCTGAAGTGCACAGGGGAAGTCCTGCAGGATCCTGTGCATTAGTGGATAGGTGTACAGTCCATGTGGTAGAAGGGTGATTAGTGAAAGAAAGATACAGAATGATTTGCTGCTCAATGTCACTCAAACAGAATATGCTGGTATTTAGTTTATCTGGCTTCAGTGTCTCATTATGGAAGGTAATTTAGAACTGATGAAAGTGAAGTTGGAAGACTGTCCATAAAGGGTTAAGTCGAACAAAGTGTGCCAGGTGTCCTCTGTCTAGGCTGTATTTCATATCATTGAAAGAAATTGAGTTGTTGAATTCTCCTGTTCCAGACTTCCTGTGACTGAAGATGGAAGAGTTAATCTGAACAAATGAGAGAGGAATAGTTTGGGGTTTTCTTCTGAAAATCTCTGTGTGAAGAAAGGGCACCACTAGTACATAGTGGAGTCCCGAGGGGTTTTGTCCTCCAGACTTAATGACAGGCTGCTCCAATGTGCACATTTTCAGGTGACAATCTGACCGAGAGCTGTGATTTGTGGTTCATGGGTCAGCATCACTATGATCAGTAGTTTATTTTGCATTTTGTGCTGTCCTTCTGTATACTGTCTTTGCATTCCAACAGCATCTACTGTATGGTGAGATGATTTTAAAAAGAAAAAGGTGCACACTGCACGTCCCTGCATTATTTTTATGTACAGCGACCTCTAGTTTTTTCTTCATGTGATGAAGTAGGAAAAAACCATCATGGAACAAGTAATGAATTGAATAATGTCTCCCTTGAAAAACATCTAATAATGTTACACTATAATCATAATAGAATTGCACCAAGTGACAATTTATATTTTGAATAATCAAATACCAGAAAAGAAGAGGGTCACATTTATTCACGCCTGTACAGTATCTGCATTTTCAGGGATCTACAGGCCACTGGCATCTTCAGGATACATATTGTTATGAAATGACCTACAATTCATAGATTCTTACACTAATGTAGTTTTCATGGGGTGCAAGTAATGAGCTGCTTCTGAGGGTCAGCCACAAAAAGATTATACTCAGAATTGCCTAATGTCAATTGACTGACAGTTGAAACACTGTTCTATAGTCAGATCAAATGAAAATTGTGAGTTTTGGACGTTCTTCAGTATTATGTTCGGAAGAAAAACTTTGTATAAAAAACTTCAATTCGTATCGGAAGAAATACAGATGCCCATTGTGAAATTCACTGTGAAATGTGGCGGGTGTATTATTTTTGTTTTTTTTTGGTGTCTAAATGTCCTGGATCTTTTGACAAAACAGGATAAATTGTGAGCTCAAGCAGATGCAGCACAATATGGTAAAAAACCTGGTACAGTCCAGACACTCGGGTTTGGTATGAAAGGTAAATTGCAGAATGACAGCAATCCAAAGTATAATTCAACTCAACAAATTTATTGGTAAAATTTCAGCTGGCCATCTCCATACCTTAATATAACTGAATGTTTCTGATTCTGTTTAAGATAGCCATACACTAATGGAAACAAAAAGAGGATAGAAAAATTCTACACATGCAGTAGGAATGTTCATAAATTTATCCTCAGAAGTGCCAGAACCTCATAGCACAATACAGTACATGAGATGTCTGGTTAATGTTATCCAAGCTAGGGAAAAAATTACAAAATACTAACTACAGGGGTGTGAGTAAATGTGATTCTTATGTTTTCTGAACTGAAGGCAAATGACTTTTGTCTATGCAATGCTAATCAGAGTAGTGTATAACATTTTTATATTTTTTTAAGCATAAGACTGTATCTTTATTTAATGTTTATTGTTCCTGTTTCATCAGTGTTAAGGATACATTTGGAAGGCAATGCTTAGATAATAAATCTCTGCTGCCCTCACTGGACAGCTATTAATGTGGAGGTTGATTTCAACTTGTCATTAATGTCTAAGTGCACTCCATTTCTACCCATGCACTTTGTTACACTTTAGTGTTTGTATATCAATTATTTGCTCCCCTTGTATATCAATTATTTGCTCCCCTCTTTTGAACTGCTGTATCAGCTGCTTAGTTTTCATGGACATTTTCTTTGGTCAGCAGTGGTTCAACCATATAAATGCTGCATGTGTAGTATGGTGTTTCTAAATTAATACAGTTGTGTTCTGAATGTATGTTTCCACTCTGCTCCTCTTATTGCGGTGTACCTGTAGTGCTGAAATTTGGGAGGTTACCGATCAGTCTCATAAATCCCAGGCACAGTATGTTTGGTGGAGAATAGCCAAAAAGACACAATTTATTAGCCAGCAGGAATCTTTCATCCTTTGAGGGAGACTTTATATGGACATTATTTTCACAATGATGTAGAACTGTGTGGAAAGGACACTATAACATACTTTTTGCATGAGGCCCACATCCTATTACTGGGAACAAGCTGAAGCTGCACTTTCAAAGCTGTTTGTAGTGATGTTATGTGGGGGAAGAGACCCTAGTGAGTTCCTTTTCCTTAGAATTTATACGTTGTGCAGACATGCATTTTGGGTACAGCACATATTTAAACTTGCTGCTTGCAGTTCTAATTTTTTTTTGCCGAGCACATTATTTGTGGTGGGATGAGGCTGTATACCAGGATATACAGTACGGTTTGTAATTCAGAGTAATCTTTGTAATTCAAACCCCTACTAGTGTTGAAACTAACTTTAGAGATGGTAGTTTATTTTAGGTGGCATGATCC